CCCAACCCCCACCCCCCCAATCGAATCGCAGCAGTGAAAGGGCGGTGGCAAAAGAAAAACAAAAGGGGAAAAAAAGGGCCATGGCCTTGAGATATCATTGCTGAACCGACAGGCCCCAGGGGCCAAGTCCCACTAGCAGCGTTGAGCTACCCCAACGCCTGAATGTGGACGCTTTTGCCCAGATCTTTTAGAAATGGTGTCGAGTTTCCTGAACTGCACGTCTCCACAAACTCATCCAGATTCAGGCGTTGAGGTAGCTCAACGCTGCTGGTGGGACTTGGCCCCAGGAGCCAACTCCCACTCAGCGTTGACTCTCTTCAATGCCCCAAATTGAATCTGGACCTGTTCATGGCGAGGTGAACTCAGACCCAAATTTCTGCATGTCTCCACAATCGCGTCCAGATTCGGGCATTGAGGAATTTAACAGTATAATTGGGACCTCGCGGCCCCAGGTAATTCAGAATGACTGTATTCTGGTCGTTTGGTTGCGTCGCGGTTTGAACTCTCGTCTGCATTTCACCTGTTCGAGTGTGTACCAACTGAGGGCATACTCACAGTAGGATCTTTTTCACTTCTTTGCGGCCAAATACATCCACGTCTGGCTGTAAATGCGGTCAACTGGCTGTAAATGCGGTCACATACATTTACGATGGTACTAGCGTGAGTATCGCCTGAGCTAGGCCCACGAGTCCATCTGCTGTCTTCTGTTTTTTTTTTTTTTTTTTTTTTTTTTTTTTTTTTTTTTTTTTTTTTTCTGAACGCAATTAATATTCACAAAACCGTCCGTAATAGGCCAGACTCACACCAGCCTGCCATGGGCAATATAATGACCTTCATCACGGTAGCAATCTCTCTCTCTCTCTCTCTCTCTCTCTCTCTCTACGAGGAGCCATTTTGTCCCAAAATCAGGAACGCTAAAGCGCGTCCTTCAATTGACAGCGAGACTCGGTTCTCTTCTGGGCTTGGAAGTCCGGTCGAAAAAAAAAAAAAAAAAAAAAAACTCGGGTCGGTATTTGGGCGATTTATAGGGGTACCAACTGAGCTAGGTTCGTTGGATTTGGACCCGTGGCCTCGCTGCACTACTCTCCACATGCACAATTGGAACGAAAACAGAGAAGATTTTTT